CGACCACCAGATTGCCAAGCATATCTTGCAGGGGCCCCACATTACCTGGAGCCTGCTTCATTCTCCCTATGTATTTAAAAAAGGACTTTTTGTTGTCCTTGATCCTTGATGCTAGCCCTAGTTCCATATCTCCCTTAGCTTTCCTAACAGCCCCCCTACAGACCCAAGCGGTGAAGGTATACTCCTCTTTGGTGATAGCACCTCCCTTCCACTGGGTGTACACCTCCTTTTTGGCTATCAGGCATTCACAAATGCCCTTGGTGTGCCAGGGGAGCTTTTGGGCACTCTTGCCCCCTTTTCTTCTTGTTGGGATTGTCACCCCTTGGGCTCTGAGTATCGTCTCCTTAAGGAACGACCACTCATCTTGGGCACACAATTCCCCTACTCTCCAGAACCTTAGTGCCTCCCACACTAATCTTCTCAGCTCATTGAAGTTGGCCGTCTTAAAGTTTAAGGCTACCGCCTTGCTGCAGGCCCTTGACACCCTGCGCTGGATGGTGAATTCCAGCAAGTGATGATCGCTGTCGCCCAGGTGGTCGAGGACCTGGAGTCCCCTCACCACGTCATCGCCTGTGGCCAGAACCAGGTTCAGCAGGGCATTCCCCCTGGTAGGACTGTGTACCTCTTGGGTTAAGTGGAGGTCCCGTATCTCAACCAGTAACCTCCGTGAGCAGTCAGACCTGGCTGACTGCTCCTCCCAGCAGATGTCCAGGTAATTTAGATCGCCCATGACAACTACATCACTTGCCTTAAGTGCCTCTGCAAGCTGACCTGAGAATTCGCAGTCCAGCTCTTCCCCCTGGTTGGGAGGTCTGTAGTAGACCCCCACCATTAAGTCCCTTTCCCCATGACCCCCCTGTATCCTGACCCAGAGCACTTCAGCCTGCTTCTCCTCTGAACCCATCCTGCTAGCTGAGGATGTGTATTGCTCTTTGATTTGCCTCACCCCCGCCTTTCCTCCCTGTTCTATCCTGCCTGTATAGCCTATAGCCCCTAATGTTAACTGCCCAGTCATGGGAAGAATCCCACAAGGTTTCTGTGAACCCTACTAAGTCCAGGTTTGAATTGGGGTCAGGCCAGTGCAGCAGGGGAGGGGAGGGGAGAGCTGGGTTGGAGCCAGGGGAGTCTGTCCTTGAACCCTGAAGGGACTGAGGCACTAAGCCAGAGCCTCCTCAAGGGTTCCTGGGGCATGACCCCCCCAGACCCTGGCGCCAGGGAACAAATCTCCCCCTCACTCTAAGTTGCAAGGCGCAGAGGCACGGGGGACCGGGGGACTTGCTAATGGCTAAGCAGGATGGCAGTGGCAGAGCTGGGACCACTGGTCTGGGGTCCAAGTAGGAGACTGGAACAGACCCAGGCTGCATTGTCTCATGAGCAGCAGCCACGTGGCTCTGCCCAACGTCTGAGAGCTCAGGTCCAGAGGAAGGAAGCTCATTTCTTCCAAAGACGATGTCCAGAGACCAGATCACCTCAGATCCAGCTCCCAGCGCTCCACGGTTCTTTGGAGGGGCCGGATCTGAATCTCCGGAGTGGCTGAACTGCTCAAAACCTTGAAACCATGCCCCTGCCCCAGCCTCACAGCTGTGAGCTCAGAGGCTTTGGGACTGGAACTGACCAAATAAGCTCAGGAATAAAGTTCCTGGGCTCTGGGCAGCTGCAGCCAGGAAGCTGCAAACAGCTGTGCTGGGCTCCGGAGCCCAGTCATCAGCTCTGTACAGGTGCATGCAGGCGTGCCTTGGAGCGGACAGTGGGGCCCTGGCAATGTGCTTCCTGCATGTAGGGCTGCACTGAAGGCAGCGGTGCGGGGCTGTGCCCCTCCAACCAGCAGCAGGCACAGGAGGTGCATCGCTGGGGCAGTGCGGGACAAGCAGCGGTGGGCGAGGAGATCCCTGTGCAGCTTCTCTGCTCCCTGCCATGCTGGGCCGTGGGGGAGGGAATCAGGGTAGCAGGGAACAGTGGCAAGCAGGCCTGCTCTTCCCTGCCACCAGGGGTAGGGCAGCTCCCTGCCACTGTGTGCACCCCTGGCAGGGCTGGGAGCCACCTCTGGCTGGGGGAGCAGGGTCTGGTGGGGGAGGAGAGGAACAAGCAGGGTCAGGGGCTTGCTGGGCTGATGTGCGGCCACAGCAAACAGTTGTTATTCAAAACCTTATACCAGGGTAGCTGAAATGGTATACAGAATATTAACTGTGGATACTCAAAACTGTGGTTGGCAAAGGAAACCTGTATTCTTCTATGATAGTAGAGCTGATATCTTAGACAAGGGCAATATAATGGACTTAATCTATCTAGGTTTTAACAAAACATTTAGCAGTGTTCTTCATAGGAGATTATTAGCTAAACTGGAGACAATGGAGTTTAATACCAAAATTGCAAGGTGGATAGATTCTGAACAACAAGGACATCTAATAGTTTCAAAGGGGATTTAACAGATTGGAAAAATGTGACTAATTCTTCAGGAGTTTTTCTTGGGAGCCATCCTGCTTAACATTTCCTACAGTAACCTTGTTATAAGACCTAAATGTTTGTTTACAGAATCTGCATATGACACAAGCCTCTAGGGAGATCAGATTATTATACAGGAAGAATGAGTGGAGCAACAGAAGTAGTATAAAAAAATTAATGCAAAGTGATGCATTTAGGGCCAAATTCTGTTTCACCTTTGTTCATCTATTTACCTTTCATATGCCCAAGTGGCACATTTGTAGCTGGGGAAACTACAGCTTTTTCCATTTACACAGAGTTTGGGAGTCTATTTCTACTTCTGAGGATGTAGGATCACTCTGCTTGTGAACCTATCAGAAATAAAATGGAGGAGGAAGCCCCTCCAACATGCACCTCTTGCTTCTTAGCTCAATGCTCTAACCATCAGGCCGCTGGGCCTCCCCAGCCTTCCCCTTGATGTTAGCTCACTGCACCTTGGCTTTATTATTCATTGGACAAAGTGGATGAACAGAACACACTGTGACAGTTTCTGCTGCATTGGGAAATGAAAAGGAGGCAAGGACCTCTTCCCTTCCAGGGCAAGCATCCACACTGAGCCACACACCCTCTGGCTTGTTTTTTCCTTCTGGCACCATGTCTCCTTCTCTTGGCTGATGAGCAGACTAAGAACTTGGGTTCCCTGTTCCCTGGGCAAGTGCCTGAACCACTAATGACTAGTCTATTAAGCTAAAAGGTGAGAAGGGCCTCCTCCTTCAGTTCAGTCCTGCAACTGAAGTTTGGGGATTTACCTGGTGTTATATGAATCCCTGTGTAATTCTGTCTTCCCTGGCAGTTGCCCATATTGAATGCAGTCAACTCAGCATGCTCAGTAGGCTAGGATGGGCAACACTGAATCCCAAAGTGTGTTAGTGCACAAAAATTTGCTGTTGCTATAAAACCTTCACTTAGGTACATGAAGGAAAAATGGTCCCTTAGGGATTAAGATTAGACATTTTGCTACAACCTAGGGGTTTACAATCTGGAGGCAATGGAAGGAGAGGAACCAGGGAACATTACTTGATCTTGGATAACCGTGAGCTGCCGGTGAGACATGGTTTTGAAAAATAAGAATACAATTTTATGAAGAGATGCACTGACTCTGGGGGTGCACTGATATAGATTTCTGGGACTGATGCCGATAGCTGATTTTTAAGGAGGCATATTGGCTGACACTGATCCAATTTCTGATATGCAGCCTGGCAGCTTGAAGAGCAGTGTCCGGTTGGTAAGTCTGTTGCGGTGGAAGGAGAGGGGGAAGGGGAGTGGGAGGGCAGGGCCACATCGAGGCCCCTGTGGTGAGGGAGGGAGTGGGGCTGGGGCTGGAGCAGGTGCTGCCTAGCTGGGGTGGAATGGGGCATGGGACAGAGCCATGGCTTGTCCAGGGGGCGCAGGGAGGGGAGGTGGCTGCATGCTCCCCAGGAGAACATGGAGGGGGCATGTGTCCCCCAGATCTGTGCACAGTGGGGCGGGCTGCAGCTGTGGGCTGCGGTTAATACATAATCCTGGGATAACCTTTAAAAGTTGTGTTAACTTAAAAAAACAACTACCTTAGATTTAGGCTGTAATCACACATTCCCTTGCAATGTTTTGCAAATTATTGGAATGTTATAACATAGTAAAGTTAGTATGTGCCAGGGGTAGATGCACATTCATGCCCAAACGTGCATGGCTTCTGCTCTGCCATTAGACAGCTGGTGAACTGGCATCCCAGTATGCCTTGCTAGCGGATGTTTCTTTCTCCCCCTCCCCTTTCCACAATAGCCCTGCCCATCTTCTGCTTTTGGAGTCTTGGACGGCAGAACGTTGATTCTGCTTTTGGAGTCTTTTTGCTTTCTGAATCCAGCATGGCAGGGCAGGTTGCAGTGTCGCCAGTGTACCAAGCATCATACCCCTGGACATGGGCAGAAGAACTTGGGTAGGGATTAGATTGCCCCACGGCAGGAGTGTGTGGGGTCATGGAGCAGTACATTCTGGGATGCTGGGGGACCTTGTACTATCTCTGTAGAAAGGTCCAACATGCAGATAGGATGTATTACCTCATACAATCTCAAAATAACCCTCATTTTAAAGGGAGCAACTTTGCAATACCACAATGGCACTTAACACGTACTGAACTGCTTGAATGTGCATTTGCTCATGTTTTAACTGCACTTAGTGTTAAGTTGAACATGTGACACCATCCTCTGACAGTTTATAAGAAATTATTACCAGTATTTTGAACATATTACTGTAACAACACTTTAAAACAATAAAATACAATGCTGACATCAGGACATTTAGCTCAATAAAAACTTGTTCTAGAGTAGCATGCTCTGTTAAGACTGTTGAAAGTGGTATGAGCTATAAAGAGATTTAACGTATGGTACAACTTACACAAGAGGAGTCTAAAAAACTCTTAAACTCCTATCCTGATCTGCTAAATTCCTATCCTAAGCATAAACCTTATGTAACAACTTTTCATAACCCCCCTATGTCTAATTTGCTCTTTATTTTTAAGTTTGTATTTTCATTTAAAAAAAAACAATTAGTAAGATTAAAATTTCTTGCACTTAGAATAAAGTTCAAACTAGATTTTTTTCAAGATGAGAGTATTATTAAGTATTGATTACATAAAGTTTGGGAGATGGAAATGAAATTATACTAACAAGTTTTCTTTTAAAAAAATACAAGAAACACAGTACAAAAAAGTTTCCAATGTTATTTGGTTATGCAGTGAGCAGAATAACACCAATGGAATGTTTTCTATGCTATCATTTTCCAACTCATCTTGGCATGAAATGTGAACATATGTGAACTCAAGTTGAGCCTGTATTAGTAAAGGCCATGTGAGAATGTGTTTATAGGTGTTGTCATATGATCACATACATCTTTCTTCAGTATGGGCTGCAGAAGTCCCATTATGTGTAGGGCTAGGGACAGATATTCGAAAAGCCTGAGCCTGAATTGATTTGATCTTTGCAGGTTAGTCTAACTTAGCTAGGCTGAACCGGTTTCTAACTGGACAGACATTTTCTCTGGACTGAGGAAATTCAGGCATATGCCTGCAGTGGGTCAGGATAGAAGCCAGGGGGTGCTACAGCAGCCCTTCCTTCCCTTGTACAGTGCTGAGCTGAAGGGGGCGTGGCCAGGTCCCAGCAGGATGATCTGATTAGGGAGGTCTGCCTGCACCATCCCAGGCTTTTCCCTATTTGCTGCTCAAGAGGTAGGAGTGTTGCCAGACTCCAGACGCCTGCTAGCACTCTGAGGCAAGGGGGGAGGGTGCAGTGCATGCATCTGTTGATGATACAAAGCTTTTCAATCTCCTTCCCTGCTTCTTTATACTGTCTGCAGCAAAATGACAGGTGAGCAAGCCAACAGGGGGCTGATAACAGTGTTTATCATCTGATCAGCAAAACAATAGCCTCTCTCCATTACTTCAGGCTTTTCTTCAACAGCTTACCACCTGACCTGTTGATTAGCTCCAAACAGCCCTAAGTGATCACTGTTCTGTCTGCCTGTCCCAGTGAAATTGGAGACACACACGTCTGCATTAGCTAGCATACCACACGCCTAGGGTCTGTGGGGCTGTGGTCCCTGCTGTGAGATGGAAGGGAGGAATGGGGGGGATTTACTGCTTGAGCAATGAGCAGTGAGGGGGAGGTATGGCAGGGGAAAGCCAGTCAGACCCTGCAGTGCCTGCAAGTCTCTGCTGAGCTCCAGCCAGGGAGGAGAGGGGAGGGGCCAGCCTTGCTGTGGAGCAGAGAGCTCTGCCCAGCCCAGAGAGCATGCTGGGATGCTGGGGGTGTCTGGTTTATCTTAAACCAGCAAAGGGTCTGGGACAGACATTGCATAAACCAGCTTGAGCCAAATCAGTTAAGTCTGATAATACATTCAACCAGGTTTAGTTCAAACCGGTTTCAGCCATTTTCAAACTGGTTTATATGCACTGAACATCTGTTCTGTTATAGGTTTAAACCAGTTTCTGATCACTTAAACCAGTTTAGGTGTAATGTCTGTCTCTAGCCCAGCTGTTTGTAAATAACTGAATAATTTCTAATGATTTATTTCATTCACACAGCACAAATCCTGAAATCTTTCCTCAGACACAAAGCTCCTTTGACTTCAGCCAGTGTCAACTACCAATTAAGGGTTTGTTTGAAAAGTTTTGATCCAACTCCTATTAAGACTTATAAAAACTCATTGTTTTCAATGGGAATTGGATCAGATCCAGAGTACCTACACACAAAAATATTTAATACTGTGACAAAGAGTTAAAAAATGACAACAGATTAAGGACCTGATTTTTCAAGCAAGATCTCAGTTTTGCAGGTATATTTTGGTGCCATCTATCTGCAGTGACAGGAAATGACAGACACAAATATTAACTGTTAGCTTTCTAAATAACTGAAAGGGCCCAAAACTCAGGTAGTCACATCTCAAACTAGCAGCACTGTACAAGGCCTGTAGAGGCAAATATGAAATAATTACTTATCAGCAGTGGTGGTAATAGTAGTTATCTTACTTCATTCTGCATGACACACATCTGTATACAGAGCTAGGCAACTCCACTCATCAGAGAAAAGGAGCCAAAAGAGCTGTCAATCCAGATATAAGTAGCCCAGCCTTTTCATGAACTACTTAGGTGAAGAATATTCAGAAGATAAGAGATTTTAGAGTCAAACTATGCTATTTAGATTGTGTTGGTTGTTGGGTATGACGTGGAATGGACCAGTGCGGAATTCTTTATTCAATATTTTCTTAAAAGCTACATTAGCCCAACTAAAATAGCCACTAAGTTGCATATAATATTCAGAACAAAAGTTGATAGTATTTATTACTCACTTCTAGCAGAAGTCTACCTTCTTGTATACTAGGTTTGCTGGATATGTTGTCTTTGCTTATTTGATCACGATGCTTCTTGAAGTGGTTTTCTTGAATAGCTGATGGGAAAAAAATATTAACAACCTATATATCGTAGATATCAGGGCTTTTAGGTTTGGGTCTTTTAAAGTTATTTAGACATTCACTTCCCATTGATTTCAATAAGAACTTGGCACCTATATACTTCTAAGGATATTGCCCTTAGTTACCGAAAATGTTCTGTTAGTGTGTGACAAAGAGAAACAGAGCCCAGATGGTTTTAATATAAAGTTCTTTTCACTTGTCATTATACCTATCACATAATTGTTGCTGAACAAATTTTTTCCATTATACTCTACATACAAAAACAATAACAAAAAACCCATAGGAAAACAGCAAAAGAAAGACATGACAAAGTTGCATTTTTAACTAAACAATACATGCTATGAACATTTGAACAAAAAGCAAAAAACATTCAGAAAAGAGAGGAATTAATACATTTCCTTATTTTCAAGACCTCCTTTGTTTTTAGATTTACATTATGATATTTACTTCTATAATTTAAAACTGGTTAAGGATTAAGTATATACACCTTAAATATTTTTTTCCAAAAGCAAGTTCAAAGTTTGTAAACACAGAAATTAAGATATTTAAGACAGGACATTTATGATATAGAAACTGTGAAAAACACCAATTTATAGATTCAAATTGTAATTTTTTTCTGGTAGTACCAAAGACTTGGTGGGAAAAAATGTGGACCACATTTGCTTTTTTCCACATATGCACCATACATATTGGCTTTCAAACATTTTTGAATAATCAGATATATGCGTCTGTCAGGATAGATATGAAGCTGAATCACCAAAAGTATGACAATTTCAAATCTGAATGAAATCTTGAGGATAACAAGAAAACAGAGTTGATTATATCATCTACCATTAAATGGGCTTCTGGATCATATAGAGCAGGAATAGGCAGTCCCCAGCACGCATACCAGAATGTGGCATGCAAAGGCATTTTGTTTGGCATACACGCCTTGGGCAGACGGCAGGGAAGTGGCCGGGGCTGCCCTGCCACAACAAGGATCAAGCCCCTTGCAGCTCCCCTGCCATCTGCCCCTGGCACGCCAACATTTTACAAGTCAAGGTAGGAGGTTTTTTTGGCACTCTGCTCAAAAACACTGCCGACCCCTGATGTAGAGGCTATGAAACAGAAGGCAAATCCTTATGACTCCATGAATAAATAATGAACAGTTAGCCTTCACGCCTCTACAAATGCAGCAGCAGAATTAAATTTCCTATTATTTTAACAGTGCCTAGTTGTTGTTAATATTTAATTATACATTTACTATTTGGTTTGTATTTACATACAATTCAGCAATCTTGTTGAAACACGCTCTTTTAGACCAAGGACGTCACCCTCTCTAAAACAACTCAACAACTTGTCCTGCACAAATGGAATGCTATTTAGCAAACAGTGAAGACATGTTAAGATCTGTAGAATATAACTGTTGGGCCAAATTATTAAATTACATGGCACCACCAGGGAGCACAAGACACCCCACTGCAGAACTCTGCAAAGGCTGCTGGATACGACTAGAGTGCATGGACCCCCTGGACATGCTAGTATACCAAGAAGAAATAAATTCTGTTGCAGGCAGGATTGGGTTGGAAAAAAATGGCTCGTGGGAACAGACTGGTTTAATTGTTTAAAAATCCATCCCTGGTGTACAATAAAACAGGATTTAAGTTGCTGTGAGTAGGACCAGGATAAAATGTAAGAAAAAAAATGCAGGAACAGAAGGAGTGGGAAGGACTTCAGTAGGATGGGAAAGCAGCTGGATTCAAAACATAGTTCTGTGCAGGCTTTACATGCTACCCACACCACAGGTAGCAGTGTAGGAGAGGAAATGTGCCCTCAGGAGACACTGCTTCCTCTCTCCACAGCTGTATGGGAGGTATAGGAAGGTTCGGCCTTTGTTTCACCCCACCAAAGCTCCAGGTGATACAGCTACACCACTTACAGATCTGACATAGGTTAATACCGCCCCTAGGAGTAGCTAGAAGACCACCTCTGTCCTGAGCTGCTTCTCTTTCACATGAACAGATCATAAACTCATCGTCTAATCTGCTGTTTCAAAGGTACAGTTTTATAAATATAGGCCTCCTTTTTCAAATGCTGCTACTCTAAAAAGGAACTGCAGTTATTAAGTCCGTTGTACTCTTGCACACATTGCGATTCCAGCACACAAGGAAATCTTTTTGGACCCAAGAGAAACACAATATGTGTATTCCTCTGAATAGTGGAAAACCCCTACACATGACGTTCTCCTAAAGTGGGCAATAGCTGTAAATTATAAAGAGCCTATTTCCTTTCATTATATATATTGTCTAGGAACAAAAATCCTTAGAATGTTGGTTAAAAATCAAGTTACATACAACAGTAAAGACAAACTATTACAAACTACTGTAAAATACTATGTTTTCAGTCTGAAAATGCCTGTTCAGGCATGAAATCAACACAAAATCCATTCTCCAAATGCATCTGTATGGAGTTCAGTATAGCAGAATTCAGTACTTGGGCCCAACAGAGAGCCAAATGAAACAATGCTAGCAATACGGCAAAATTTTCCTTTCCTACTTCGTGGTTTTCTCAGTCTGCTTCCTGTTAAAGATGCTTTGAAATCTGTCTGCCCTTTGATGTTTCTTAAGTGCAGCATGGCATTTATTTAAAGTACAAAACTCGGTCAAATGAACTGTTTTCTTTCCCGTCCAAATCTCATCCCTTCTTTTTTTCTTTCACAATTATTTTCCTTATTCTTTATCAAGAGATTATTATTTTCCATGTACAAAAAGATGCTATCTTTTGCCTTCTATTCTCCTCTAGGCATTTTATGGTATATTCTTGCCTGACAGCTTTGCGTGATTAGAACTCACAGATAGCTTCCCTGTATGTGGGTAGGAGCTGGGCACAGAGCCACCTACTCACTTGAAACTCCACCCTTCTCTCCCCTCCACAGCAGAGGAATTCCTTTGGAGAGAAACACCAGGGGGGAGAACAGGCTTTTTGGTAGAAGCAGACTGCTGAGTAACCAGAGCTTCTCTGTCACGCAATCTAACTGGCTGTCAATCTTTCTTTGCATCTGACAGAGCTCTGGCTCTAGTTCAAACCATTGCGTGCAAGCAGCAAAGCCACATTACCCTCTGAAGTATTTCATAATAACAACAGCTGTTAAATATTGATGACTCCTGGCAAGCTCTGAATGCTTTTTGTGAAGGTTAAGGCTTCATGTCATGGAACCTAATTCGTTATTGTATTTTATATCTGATATCTGGAAATTACCTTAAAAAGCAACAGAGCTTAAAGGGAACAAAGAATTAAATCACTTTAATGTATTAGGGAAAAGGGGGAAATTGGCAAGCTAAACAGGGGAAAATATTTTTGTCAAGTAAATTCCTTTGTATAACCAGAAGGGAAAAGCTGCAGGAAAGACCATTGACATGATTCGTTTAGTTGCATTCCTTTTTTTTGTTTGTTTTATAAATAGTTTTTAAAGCAAACCTGTAGTCTGATTTCACAGCTGTATAGGTCCACAGAGAACTTTTGAATGTATGTGGAAAACAAGACACCCAGAAAATGTATCAAAAGGGGCAAAGTACATGCTCCTACACCCCTTCTAGTAGTATCAAGGCTGAGGGAGCTAGCAACTCCTAGAGATTGTGCAAATTGGCCAGGATGTTAATGTAAAAGGCCAAACCATAGGGAGAGATGGAACAGGGATAGTTTCTTGTCTGGGGCAAGTCCTGATATGACCTCCACCACAATCCCCAGAAGAAATCCTCCCAGTTTTTCACCCTGGCCTTCTAAAACAACTTACTCTTCTGTTTATCATTCTGCTACCTCCTTTTGCCTGACTTCACTCTTGAGACTGGAGCCAACAGGAAGGGAGTTAAGTCAGGCAGTGAGAGCATGACTGCTGAACTTGGGGCATCAAGAGGGAAATGCCATGAAGCTAGAATGGGCAATAAAATGAGCTAATGGCCATGGTAAGTATGTGAGATGAAGGAGGAACTAGAAAGAAAGCAATATGAGGGCTCTAAGATTGGAGGACTGTGGAATATCCTTCTTACAAGAGAGAGAGATTATCCCGCATATCCTTCTTACAAGAGAGAGAGATTTTGGGGAATGGCAAGTGAAGTGGGTAAAGCTCAGAACTATTATTCTTTTCTTTTGTAACTTACCAATTTATTGTAAATAGCTATTTCTGATGTAGGAATAAAGGCTCAAATTTCAGTTGGGCCTGAGGATATTTTAATCCTGGGTAGAATTCATTTTGATAAAACGTAAAGGCAGCCTTTGCCTACATGTAGACAAGTTTTGAATTTGCCCTTGTTAGTTCATTAATTCTTTCTCTGTAAAGTCTGTAGAACACATTCTGCATACGTTACAAGTTTCAACCAAACCTAGCTAAAGGTAATAAATAAGAACCACCATGGAAATTAAAGTTTCCATGGAACAAGGCAGAAGTTGAAACTATATTTCCATCTTTGTTTTAATACAGAGGTGCTGCCATCTCTCATTTTCTGTCAGCGGTTATGTGAGTGAGTACATGTTTGGGGGAACAGCTCTACTCATAGTTTCCAAAAAGTAAATACAAACCTGACAGCAAATTGGTCAGCAGAGGCTCCTGAGTAAAAAGGAGGACTCTGTTGTCATTATGTTTGACTGCACTCTCACCTTTGTGATAAGCTTGTGGAAACAATTCTGTGTTACCGTGTGAAGTGAAGAAATAAGACTAGCAAGCAAATTAAGAGTATCTGAAATTTAAAGAAGGGGTAAAATAAGGGTAAATGCACTTCTTTAAGACAAACCAAGGGACATTGCTACCTGTAATGGGCAGCCTCCTTTGGCAAGGGTCGCAATCCAGGCTTGCCACCTTGGATAATATTCTTTTTCTTCTTGGTCATCTAAGTGCCCATTTTCTGGTCACTTATATGACATTTTTTGGCATTTATGCATTCTATTCTTGGCCACATAGCCCCGAGTACATAGACAGTTATGTATATGTAGAGAGTGGCAC